GTCGTAGGAGAATGAAACGTTGACAATAGATTGTCCTTGGGTAGGATAACATTCACTGAAAATATGAAAAGATTTGGTTGAATTCTCACAGCAGTAGAGCTTTATACTTCTGACCATTTTTTAGGCGATTTTTGGTCATTTTTGCAAAAAAAACAAGGAGGGGTGGTGAAATCCCCCCAGTTTGACCAAATTTCCTTGAACTTAGGCTGAAGTAGTTTTGGGTGGACCCCTTTAAACTGGCAAAGTTTCATTGAAATCGGTGAGATGGCTTGTGCCACCCCCGCCTGGTCCTATCATGGATGCACTCTTAAAGATTGTTATTGGTTTTTAGGATTATTTCAGCGTGGTAATAGCACCTACACTCAAATAAAGGCTCTGAGTGCTTCTCTTACCATTGATCAAGGTCACTATGTTTATGTGGTTTTCTTTCGCTAGCTGCTTTCTATCTCTAACTTTAAAGCCGTAACAGGGGAAACCCAGAAGCTTGCTGATAACATATCATTCTTTCTCTACCCGATAAACAGCTCCGAAAGCAACTGTTTTGTCCCACCTGCCAATCATTAGACTGAAACCACGGTATGAAATTTAAAACATAGCAGTCGGCATGAGAAGTATGAATTAAATCTCACTTTAAACACAAACATCAAGTTTTAGCAAGTCTGACATGATTAATGTGCAGAGAAACTTTATATAGTGCTGAGTAGCTCAATCTATAATATCCTAAAACAATGCAACACCCACGCCTACATGCAGGAGGCAGTAGGAAGCAGTCAAGTTCCAGCTTTGTTGTCCACTAGTCAGCAGTTGCCAGCGGTGTTACATAACATTCCATTTCCATTTTTTGTACACCGCTTAATCCTCACGAGGGTGTTACATAAACTTGTTTGGACTTTTTTTTGTCCCTTGTCCTTTGAACTCCTCATCCAGATGTTAAAAGACACACTACAGTCCTGTCAGCAGGATCCAACTGTGGTTTCTCAGAGGGCATTTTGAAATATTTTCATCATGATTTTTCAGGCTCTTTTTGATTCAATGCACTTCAGTGGTTGGCTGCTGTTTGGTTTTGCGTTGCTGCTTTTGACTGATGTGATAAGAAGCTGGAGGCCTCCTAACTTTCCACCTGGACCCTGGGCTGTGCCTTTTCTAGGAAACATCTTCACTGGAGCTGACAACCAAACAATGAAGAAGGTGAATTGAACAGTTAAAGTTTCACAATACGTGCAATGTAACCTGAGTGTTTCCCCAGAACAGAGAGACGAAACTTAGAGCAAATCTTTAATATCAGTGAAGCAATCTGGCTTGCAGACAGCAGCCTTGCGAAAACAAGCGCACAAGAAATAACAAGAAATAACAAAAGACTGCAACTTAAAGGTTTTTGTTCTCAAATTTTTCACAAATCAACATCAATGTACAAATCACATCAGTATCAGAGAACATCGTTCATGAGCAGAAGAGCAAAGATCAACCGTCTGTAGCAGTGGTTTCAAAGAGGATTTAACTACTTAAAAATTAATCCTTTTTACAATGTGTTTGTCACTGTTTTCCATTCAAAGTATTTAATCCACAAAAACTGCTGTGCATTAAAATGCAGAAAGAGAACAAAAGTAGTATAAAACATTTACATTTTAAGATATAAAGATTTAAAAATAAAGTATAAAATAAATCAAAGTACAGACAACTTTAATGAATGTACTGACAGGTTTTATCCAGAATTTCTAGGAGGCATAAAAGTGGCATATGTATAAGAGGAAGTAGCAGAAAAAGATCGATCTTTAGCTTCGTTTTTAAAAATGGCTACGAGTGGGACAGTAGGGAGCTGATTCCAGCAGTGAGCAGCCTAATACCATTTCACCATGTTTGGTTTGAGCAGGGGGCTGCAAGGTGGCGCAGTTGGTAGCACTGCAAGAAGGTGGCCGGTTCGCGTCCCAGTGGGGGCACCTGAATCTTTCTGCGTGGAGTTTGCATGTTCTCCCCGTGCAGCGTGGGTTCTCTCCGGGTTCTCCGGCTTCCTCCCACACAGTCCAAAAACATGTTGAGGTTAATTGGTGATTCTAAATTGTCCGTAGGTGTGAATGTGAGTGTGCTTGGTTGTCTGTCTCTAAGTGTAGCCCTGTGATAGACTGGTGACCTGTCCAGGGTGTCCCCTGCCTTCACCCTAAGTTGGCTGGGATAGGCTCCAGTCCCCCTGCGACCCTAATGAGGATTAAGCGGTGTATAGATAATGGATGGATGGTTTGAGCAGTGGGCATTGTCAGCTGACTATTCCTACCAGACTTCTACTCAGTGGAAGCCCTGATCATTCAGAGACTTATAGAAAATAATAATTAGGGCCTTTTCTATATTTACCTGGAAGCCAATGCAAAGATCTGACAACTGGAGTGATGTGTTCTCTCTTCTTGGTTTTATCAGAATTCCAGGAGCATTTAAAGTCTTTGTGACACATTTCCTCTGTTGAAATTTTATTTTGATTTTTTTAATGCAGCTGGCTCAGGAGTACGGCCCTGTGTTCAGCCTGAGGAAAGGCAGTGAGAGGTTGGTGTTTATTTCAGGATACAAGATGGTCAAAGAGGCTCTTCTCAACCAGCTGGACAGCTTTGCGGATCGACCAGTTGTCCCTCTCTTCAATGATATCTTTCATGGCCTTGGTAAGTACTTCACTTAGTGTAAGAGAGCATGAGTGTATGCTATGAGTAATATTTTTTACTGTCAAGGTAATTCTCCAGAAAAAAAAAAATCTATCCATACTGTTGAAAGATTTATTATAAAAGTGTTGATATCATTGGATCTACACTCACAAATACACCACGCTCTACTCAAGTAGTAAAAACCACCCATTGTTTTTGAACTGATAGACGTAAGTGATAGTTACAAAATATGTAAAGTCACAGGATAAAAACATGCTGTTCAATGCATCTTATTTGGAAATACGTGCATCAACATTTGTGCAGAGACTGCTTTGTTAACAGTTCATTGTAACATCCTCACAGGTATAAGTCTGAGCAACGGTTACCTGTGGAAGAAGCAGAGGAAGTTTGCCAACACTCACCTGCGTTACTTTGGAGAGGGCCAGAAGTCACTGGAAAAATATATTGAAGTAGAGAGCAACTTCCTCTGTGAGGCATTCAAAGATGAACAAGGCAAGTAGATTGTAGGAATTCACTTGACTCAAGTGCAATGAAGTGATTTTTCTCGTATGAATTCTAATAATTTGAACTGAATTCAACATATTTCCAGGACGACCATTCAACCCCCACTACACCCTAACAAATGCAGTGAGTAACATCATCTCCGCCGTGGTCTTTGGACACCGCTTCGAATACAGCGATCAAAGCTTTCGCAGCTTTCTACAGTTGGACAATGACACAATTGCACTAGCTGGCCCAGCTCAGGTAATTCCTGTCTCAAATATTATGCTCTGATTTCCAAAGACATCATATAGCTGGTGTGCCACAGATCTGAGAGTTTTCCCCATCAACAGCTGTATGATGCCTTCCCTGGCTTGTTTAAGTATCTGCCAGGACCTCACCAGACTGTACACGCCAACTACAGGGTGATCTTGAATTTCTTGAGGAAGGAAATAGAAAAACACCAGGAGGAGTGGAACCCCGATGACCCTCGTGATTATATCGATATGTACCTGGCAGAAATGGAGAAGGTAACATGTTTCCACATTTTCAGTAAAGCTCAGGGAACATGCTGAAGGGGGAATTCACAATCTTTGGAGTTTGTCTAGTCAAGTGTCCAGAAGAACACACAAACAAGAAAAAAAAAAAATCTGCATATTCAAACTGGCCACTACATTAACAGATCATTTTATATTGCACTCCAAGTCAAAGTGTTGGAGGACAAAATACACAGTGTGTCATGGCTTTGTTAATGCTCCTGACCCACATGCAGAAGAACACTCAGGAGAAAAGGTTTTGAACAAGAGGTTTTATTCACAGAGAGCAGGGAATGTGTAATGATGAGGGTTAATCCGGGTGGGATGTCGACGAGGGTCTGGTGGGTGGCCGGGCGGTCATACGGTGGTCAGTGCAGTGGGGGTGAATAGCTGAAGCGTACCGGTTGTGAGAAGAGTTTTCCAGAGAGCAGCGGGTTAGCACAGGCTGGTTGTGAATGAGCATCAGCAAGGAGCAGGTACTCGGGGAAAAAACCTTCAGAGAGGGAAAAAGTCAGCATGCACTAGAAAGAAGCACAAGAAATACTCTGAGTGTACCACTATGGTTAACACTCAGGCAGTGAGTGATCGGTGACTGCTCCTTCTGTCCCTGGAGCGACGAGCCTCACGAGCTGCAGGTGTGTAGAGAACACACCTGCAGGGAATGAGCCCCAGAGCAGCACGAGATCCCCTAGGGCGCCCTCTGGTGGATGAGCTGCCGTTACAGTCCAGCCCCTTTCAGTCAAGTTCACTTAATGTTGATTTAGTGAACTTGACTGAAAGGGGTTGGACTGGGGCTTTATCAGGTAAATCTCCCTGTATTGGAGTTTTACAGTGCCAACAAAAATCCTTCTATTGCTTTTCAACATTGTATCATGGTTCATTTGTTTTTTGTTTGTTTGTTTGTTTTTTTTTCTTTTTTACAAGAATTTACACGAAAGACTCCATCATGTTAAAATTTCTACAATGTAGTATCAAATAAATTAAAGATATATTGCGAGCTCTTCACCAGTCAAAGCTTTTGGGGAGAGTGGTAAAAGAGTAACTGTTGAAAAAAGCTCAAATTATTTCTCAACTAGAGCTCACCAAAAAGCATGCAGAAGACTCCATGCTCAATTGGAAGAAGATTCTTTGTTCTGATGAGAACACAAGTGAGCCTTTAGTTCATCAGACTAGACACTGTTTAAGATGAACACCAAGCACCACACATCATCACAAACACACCATCCCCTCCGTGAAGCATGGTGGTGGTAGCATCATAATTTAGGGATGCTTCTCTGCAGCAGGCCTTGGAAGGTTTGTAAAAGTATAGAGAAATCCTGGCAGACAGGCCGATGCAGTGTGTAAGAGAACTGCAACTTGAAAAAAGATTTGTTTTCCAGCAAAATAATGACCTGAAGTATACAGCCAAAACACAGAAGCAATTAAAAGATATCAAGATTTATGTTTTGGAGTGGCTGAGTCAGAGCCTATACCACAATCCAACTAAGAATTTGTGACTGGACTTGAAAGGACTGTTCACTCTCCAGCCCTGTGTAAGCTGACAAAGCTCAATTAGTTTTGCAAGGAAGAGGAAATTGCAGTGTCCAGATGAACAAGGCTGACTGACACCTATTCACAGATGTTCAATGCTATAATTGCAACCAGTCAATACTGGCTTGAAGGGAATACATATTTATGCACTTAGTATCACTTATTTTACATTTTGTATTTCTAATTGATTGAAATTACTCTTCACATTGCACAAATAAGGATTTTTTTTTGTAAATTCTTGTAAAAAAGAAAGAAACAAACGAAAACACCTCTTATTATATTGGCCATGATTTAATGTTAAGAAGCAACTAAAGGCGGACACTTCTAAGTGGGATGAATACTTTGAGGAGGCACTTTAAAATCTTGTGTTTCTGGGGACATTCCTGCACTGGTGCACCAGCAATGCAGCAATGCATTTCATGTGAACTATCAATGACTGGTTTACCAGAGCTGCAGATGGGAGAGGGAAGACCAACAAGGCTACAGCAACCAGGAGCTTGTCAAGAGCATCATGAACATGTCTTTGATACTTCCAAAGTTTTTCTGCTGTGCTCCTAGTTGCTGTAGCCTACTACATGTCCATCACTTTGGTTGCTCCCCTTGTCAGCTCTGGAAAAACAATCATTGCTAGTTGATTCAGTGCTACTGTTGTGCCAGCATGAGAATACACTCCAGAATTAAAATTTTGGTGTTCTGTGAAATACAGATTGATTTCTGTGCTAGATTATCAACCACTGACAGGCTTAATCAGCAATGTGTTAACTCCTTTGGCAAAGACTTGAATGTAACATACATTTATAAACCAGTGGGCCACAACATTAACATTACTTCCAGCTTAACTTCATCACACTGATAACAAAAATGCATTGATTGTTACAATGCAATGCTCTGCTTAATACTTTTGAAAACCTTGGGATTCATGTGAATCTTATCATGACACATGTCCACATAAACATTATTGCAGGCTAACCTCCCCTCCCTGCCAACTCTCATTAATCTATAAAGTAGCTTATGGCATCACGTCATCAAAAATAAGAGTATTTTCCATTAACACATTAGAAAAAAGAGGATCCCCAGGCTGGCTTCAACACTGAAAATCTGCTGGCTTGCACTCTTGACCTGATAGAGGCTGGGACAGAAACAACTGCCAACACTTTACGCTGGGGCCTTGTATACATGATGAACTACCCAGAGATACAGGGTTAGTATTTTATTAATCTCAATAAGCAGTGGAATATACCAGTAACGGTTATAGATGTTTGTAGATCATGGTTTACTCCGTTTCCTCTTTCAGAGAAAGTCCAGGCAGAGATAGACAGAGTGATCGGACAGTCTCGTCAGCCCACAATGGCCGACAGACCCAACCTGCCCTACACTGAGGCCGTCATCCATGAGACCCAGAGGTTGGGGAATATTGTTCCCTTGGGTTTACCCAGAATGGCCACAAAAGACACTACACTGGGAGAATACTTAATTCCCAAGGTAAGGGACTGTTGACCAGTCTCACCCACAGATAAATGTCAAGCTGTAAATTCTGTAACATATTGATACACAGCTAATATCAAAAACATCTAATGATTCCTTCCAGGGAACATCTGTTACTATGATCCTTGGGTCTGTGCTGTTCGATAAGAATGAGTGGGCGACTCCTGATATCTTCAATCCTGAGCATTTCTTGGATTCAAAGGGCCAGTTCCTCCGAAAAGATGCCTTCTTACCATTTTCAGCAGGTGTGTTTTACAGTGATTGGAGTTCACATATAGAAGAAGCATTTACTACAGGTAGTTCTTTGGGATATCATAAAACTGTACCAACACTGATGTCAACAGGACAAATGTTTGTGATGTTTCTGTTCAGGTAAACGAGTGTGTATCGGGGAACACATGGCCAAATTGGAGTTGTTCCTTTTCTTTACGTCTCTCCTCCAACGCTTCACCTTCTCTCCTGTTCCTGGAGAAATGCCCAGTGTGGAGGGTGTTCATGGATTCACGTATACTCCCAAAGAGTTCAGAATGCTGGCTGTGCCTCGCTGATGTCATCCAAACCAAACACAAGCATCAAAGAGTGCGTGTTTCATGTGGAACATATTAAAAACCAATTATCTTCAATAAAGCAATAACATGATGATTATTTATCTGACCTGCAACTGAGAAATGTTTTGTATAATACAAGATGTTAACAGTTTAACTCCAAATGTCAAGAAAAAACAAGATTGTTAAGATTCCCTGTCAGGAGGCTTGTCTTCTGTTTAAAGACCAAAACAGCAAGCCCAGTTACACCTATTGGTTCACAATAGTCCTTGGAAAACACTTTGGCACAACATCTACTGTTTTAAATTTGCTATATAAGTAATGGTGACTTGACTTGACTTGTGCAGCCATGCTACAGCTACAAAAGTGTTTTCAGGCTATTACCTCTATACATTTCTTCCGCACCTCCTAAGTTTGGTGAAGTTCGGTGAATACATTGGAAAACAGAACCGAAAACACCAGTCTGAAAGTAAGGGAATTTAATATATTATGTACTGACAGCATCTATCATTTATTCCACAACCGTGTATTTGCAGGTTATCAGATAAGTTAATGTCACAATCATGAACATGTACAATAATGTGTTAATGAATAATCCATTATCATTTATATTAGATTATGCATTGGCTCCACATGACTTCAATAAAAGTGTTGTTCTTAGAGGGATACAACAGGATTTTTTAGGTTATTTTTTTAGATTAATATGACACTATAGTGACACTGACACACAACCACTTTAGTGAACTTTTGCGTTTGTTAATGATTCATAGTCATGAAGGCCATTAGCTTCAACTTTCACTGCAGTAAAAGCACTGTGTGTGTGTGTGTGTGTGTGTGTGTGTGTGTGTGTGTGTGTGTGTGTGAGTGTGAGTGTGTGTGTTTTAGATAGGAACTGTCCAGTTATTAAAGCTGTCACTAGTTGTACTTTTCTAGATAATCTGTCTTCAATAATATTGATTTAGTCTAGACTTTGGTTCATAAAAGATAGCCTGTTTTTGTTTTATTTTCGGTCACACCTTATCCTGTGAATACATTACTGACAGTATCTACAAACAAAACAAAACCTTCGTCATCATCAAAACGGATGGAGCCCATCTGAGCTGACCTTGGGTGAAGGCAGGGGACACCCTGGACAGGTCACCAGTCTGTCACAGGGCCACATAGAGAGAGACAAACAACCAAGCACACTCACATTCACACCCACGGACAATTATTTACTTGACCAAAGGGATGAAGAATAGAAAAAAATACAATAGAGAATAAAAAATATGAATATGAAATAAAAAATAAAAAACAAAAACCAACCAGGATATTGCGTTCGAGAAATTCCGGGAATGTTGCACTTGGTATGTACTGATATTGCACAAGGAGCATTGCACTTGGTGTATGAACAGAGATTTTTCTATTGCACAGGTAAGAATGATTATTGAGAATCTGCGGCGTTCAGGGCAATGACAGCTCTTGGATAAAAACTGTTCTTTAGTCTGTTTGTTCGGGACTTTATTGCCCTGAAACGCCTCCCTGAGGGTAGGAGTTTGAAGGGGTGGTGTGGGATCCCTGGTAATGATGCAGGCTCTCCTGAGGCAGCGACTACTGTGAATCTCCTTCAGAGATGGAAGAGGACAGCCAGTCAGTCTCTGGGCAGTGTTTGTGACCCTCTGGAGCTGCTTCCTCTCTGCCGCAGTGCAGAACCACAGTGAGATGCCGTGGCTCAGCACCGACTCCACCGAGCAGCAGTAGAAGGACCCCAAGAGCTCAGTTTTTAGGTTATTCTTCCTGAGAATCCTCATGAAGCAGAGTCTTTGCTGTGCTTTCTTCAGGATTGAAGTGGAGTTTATAGTCCCGGTCAGATCTTCACTGATGTAGGTGCCCAGGAACCTGAAGTCTGGCACCATCTCCACCCTGTCCACATTTATTGTGATGGGTTGAATGTCCGGTTTACACCTCCTGAAGTCGACAATCAGTTCCTTCGACTTGGAGGTGTTAAGATGAGGTTGTTGGTGGTGCACCAGACTGACAGTCACTCCACTTCCATTCTGTATGCGGTCTCATCTCCTCCAGAGATTTGCCCCACCACCGTGGTATCATCCGCAAACTTGATGTGCAGTCGTGGGTGTAGAGGTTGCAGAGTAGGGGGGTTAGCACACAGCCGCATGGAGAGCTGGTGCTGGTGCTCAGTGCTGAGGACAGGTGGGGTCCTTCTCTCACCCTCCGGGAGTGGTCTGTCAGAAGCTCCATGATCCAGTGGCAGATGTTGTGGGAGAGACCCAGGTCCCCAAGCTTACTCACCAATCTGCTCAGAATGATAGTATTGAAAGCCGAGCTGAAGTCCAGGAAGAGCAGCCTTACATCCAAAAACATAATCCATTCATCCATCCATCAAGAGCCAACACATGCCATCCAAGAGCCATCCATCCATTAATTTTTTTTCGCTCATCCAGGGTTGGTTCATGAGAGGCAGCAAGCAGAGCAGGTCATTCCAGACTTCCCTCCCCCCGGCAATGCTTTCCAGCTCTTGTTGGGGTATCCCGAGGTGTTCCCAGGCCAGCCGAGAGATATAATCCTTCCAGCGGGTTCTGGGTCTTCCCCGGGGTCTCCTTCCAGGTGGACGTGTTCAGAAAGCCTCCAGAGGAAGCCTCCCACATGACATCAGAATCAGATGTTCAAACCACCTCAATTGGCTCCTTTGGACGTGAAGGAGCAGCGGCTCTACTCTGAGTTCCCTCCGAATGTCCGAGCTCCTCATTCTGTCTCGAAGGCTGAGCCCAGCCACCCTGCAGAGGAAGCTAATTTCGGCTGCTTGTATTCACACTCTCATTCTTTCCGTCACGACCCAGATCTCATGACCATAGGTGAGGGTTGGGACACAGATGGACTGGTTAATCCAAAAAACTAGAAATCCAAACAACATAAACCTGAGAGCATAAGCATGGAGCACAAGCATGAAAACAGGAGGAGAACATCAATGAAATTGCACATGACAAGAGAAAGACTATTCAGGCACTGAGAACTAATTGAAGAGACAGGACACAGGTGACTCACAAGATACAGTTGAAACTAATGAGGGCAATCAAATGAGAAAGGAGACAGACAAATGGAGGAAGTAAAAACTCACATGAGGAAGGGGGATGCCATAATATAAAACACACAATCTACAACATAAACCTAAAAACCATGACACATGGCAGATTTTAGGCTACTCATTCACATACCTTTTATGTCAGGGTTCTTGATCATGTACAGCAACCCCCAGCATAAAGTAACACTAGTACTTTCCGTTCCAGTGCCAAACAGGTCTAGAGTGCAGTTACACAAGTTGTTGAGATCAAAACCAGCATCTTCATCCTCCTTCTATCAGTAAAACAAGGGACAAAAGTGGGTATCAGTTGAGACATGACTTTGGAAAAGCAAGAGAACACACATAAAATAAACCCAGTGAAACACTCACATCTCCCATTTCTAGGAGGAAGGAGTCGATGTAGTCTCTTGGCGATGAGAGGTCGAGGGTTTTCTCTGTGTTCTTTGGTCTCAGTTTTTAAAAAGTCAATGTTCTTGTGTATCAGAGTGAAGAACCTCTGATGAGATCCAGGCGGCCACCTCATCAGCTGCAGTAGTTTTTGATTCAATGCACTTCAGTGGTTGGCTACTGTTTGGTTTGGCATTACTGCTATTTGATTCATATGATAAAAAACTGGAGGCTTCACAAAAAGTGTAAATGCAGTCCAATGCAGTGACCAGTGCACGGACTTGTTCATAGAGGAGACTAAACAACAACTTCACAAGTGTTCTACAGTTATAACAAACAGCTAGTTCTGTAAGATACAATAAAACTGCACCAACACTCAACAAGACATATGTTTGTGATGTTTCTCTTCAAGTAAACCTGTGTGTATAGGTGAGCCTCTGGCCAGAATGGAACTGTTTCTTTGGAGGGTGTTAATGGAATCACCTATGCTCCAAAAAGAGTTAAGAATATGAATGTGACTCACTGATGTCATCCAAACCAAACACAAACATCAATGAGTGTAAGCTTCAGGTGAAATGTACTAAGATAAGATGAGATAAACTTTATTGACCCCTCACTGGGCAAATTCACAAGTTACAGCAGCTGGATACAGATAAGGCATAAAAGAAGGACAAGAAATTACTGGTACAATAAGGCTAAAAAATAAAGATTATAATAAAGGTCACATACAGACAATGTACCAGACATGATGAATTTACATATAGATTTATACATATATGACAAAGTGAATTTACACATGGATGAGTACAGCTTTGACATGGTGAGTTTACACATGGATATGTACATGTAGAACTTGATAAATTCACACATGTACAGGTATGGCATGGAACACAATTCTTTTATTGCTGTAAAAAACGCTAAAACCAATGTTAAACATAATGTTATTGCACATGAAAAGCTGAAAGAGAATAGTGTTATATCTTGTTGATTGATCTAGAAGAGCTGTAAAGAGAGAGAACATTATATTTTTCATTTTGTTGTTGGGTTGTATGAGACCAAACTTGGGATTGTTTACGAAGAACTGTAGAGAGAAGGACAGTGTTAAGAGATGATGGAGGACCAGAAGAGCTCTTGGGGGAAGAAAATAGTGTTAGCTCATTCTGTTGCAAACTGGAAAAAAAACTGTGATTATGGGATGTTGGTGACTCAGAAGAGTTATGGAGTAAACAATCAGAGAAAACAGCAAAAACCCAATGAATTCACCGACCCATTAGCTATACACTGTTTAATACTCATCAACCCAGAGAGAACCCATGCTGCACGGGAAGAGCATGCAATATATCTAATAAAGCAATAATATGATAAACACATATCTGACCTGCAACTGAGAAAAAATTTGTAAAACACAAAATATGAACATTATACCCTCAAGTGCCAATAAAAAAATATAAATCAGATTACAGTCTCTGTTAAGATTCCCTGTCAGGAGACTTGCCTTTTGTTTAAAGACCATGCAGCAAGCCCAGTCGCACCTAATTTTGGTCATAACAGTTGTTGGAAAGCACTTTGGCAAATCTATTCTTTAAAATTTGCTATATGGATGGACCAGAGGAAGCCAAGGAGAGAGTTGTTTCAGGAGATCAGAAAGAAAATTATAGACAAATATGGTAAACGTAAAGGCTATAAGACCATCTCCAAGCAGCTTGATGTTCCTGTGACTACAGTTGCACATATTATTCAGATATTGAAGATCCATTGGACTGTAGCCAACCTCCCTGGACGTGGTCGCAGGAGCAACATTGATGACAAATCGAAGAGACGGACAATACGACTGGTAACAAAAGAGCCCAGAACAACCTCTAAACACATTAAAGGTGAACTCCAAGGTCAAGGTACATCAGTGTCAGATTGCACCATCCGTCGTTGTTTGAGCCAAACTGGACTTCATGGGAGACAACCATGGAGGCGTGCAAGGTGCTGCCTGCCATTGGGAGCAACTTTGGGTTTAGTGTCTTGCCCAAGGACACTTTGACTGTGGAGGAGCAGGGGATTGCACCACCAACCTTGCGATTGGAGGACAACCCGCTCTGCCACCAAGCAAAATGTTATCTGTATGACATCAGACATGTATTGAGGTAGTGGANTGTTGTGGGAGAGACCCAGGTCCCCAAGCTTACTCACCAATCTGCTCAGAATGATAGTATTGAAAGCCGAGCTGAAGTCCAGGAAGAGCAGCCTTGCGTAGCTCCCTCACTGTTCCATCTGTATCAGCGTGGTGTGCATCCTCCGTAGACTGGTTGGCTCTATAGGCAAACTGGTGGAGGTCGAGTGTGGGTGGCAGGCATGAATGGATATGACTCCGAACCAGTTTCACAAAGCACTTCATCATGATGGGGGTTAGTGCCACTGGCCGGTAGTTGTTGAGACTGCTGATATTGTTCTGGTGAAGGACTTTAAGCAGGGTGGGATGGAGCACTGGGTGAGGGACTGATTAAAGATGCTGATGAAAATCCCAGCTAGCTGGTCAGCGCAGTCCCTCAGCAGCCTCCCTGTCACGCCGTCAGGTCCTGCAGCTCTCTGGGGGTTCACTGCCCTCAGGGTTCTCCTCGCTTCCTGTACCTGCACAGTGAAGGTCTGGCTGTGGGGGGATGTCAGTTGCAGTGTGGGCCCCGCCGGTGGCTCAGCCTCGAAACGGGTGAAGAAGTGATTGAGCTCCTCCGCCAGTGAGGCATCCCCGGAGATTGCGGCGGTGTTGCTGGATCAAATATTTGCATGTGAAGCAAATAAATGTTCACAGGACTTTATTGCATGTTTGAATACAGTGGATTACTTCAATAATGCATAATGGTTTATTATTCACCCTAAGTCGGCTGGGATAGGCTCCAGCTCCCTGCAACCCTAGTGAGGATTAAGCGGTGTAGAGGTAATGGATGGATGGATGGACAATGGTTTATTAGGTATAGTGGCTGGGTATACTTCCAAATGATGCTTTACTCACACTACGGATACAGAAAGATATATAACAGATATTCTTGATGCGTTATGAGATAAATGTAGTGGAACACAGTGATTCATTGTGTACAGTGGTTTATCGTGATGCGGTGCAAGGCGGTGAGGTTTGGGTGAGCGAATGCCTCCCATGTTGAACTCCAGACTGGGCTCCACAGGTGCCGACAATGAAAACCTCTGAAAGAGGGAAGTGAAAAAGAGGAATATCTCCATCCTGGCCAGCTGTTCCCCGAGACACACCCACTTACCTGAGAATACACAATACAGCAGAGTTTCATTCACACAATTCATATATTTATATATTGTTATATTGAACATAATGATGTACTTGACATGACATTGGCTAAAACTGTGTTTGCTTGTTTGTTTGTTTTAATTCACTGCACTGGTGAAATATTTATATTTTGTACATTTTCACTACAGTTCACTCACCAACATGCCAACATATGTGAGGAGAGTCTAAATGGCAAAGTTGGTTAGTTTAACACAGTAAAAGGAAAAGGTGCTATTTGGCTTCTTTGAAGCCTTAAATCACTACATGGCTAAATCACCATATTACAAGATTATAACTACTGACTAACCTGCAGATAAAGGAAGGAAGGAAGGCCTCTCTCGTCCTAAATTTACCATCCTGGTCCAGAAAGTGCTGAGGGTTGAAGGAGTGTGGAGTTTCCCACATTGACTCATCCTTGTTCACTGAGTGCAGCGACAGCATTATCATGGTACCCTGAAAAAAATAACACCATTAAAAGGGTTGATTAACCTGCGTTGTAAAAAATATTATCATAAATCATATAAGCAAATGATTCCTTCTTGACCTTTGAACAGGCTCAGGAACAGGAGGGGCATTGACCAACACAGATTCAAGAACAAGCTAGATGTTGACTAGAAGAATCGTTGGAGTTGAATCTCAATCTACCAGAAATTAAACTATGTGTGAAACAGCTCCTGCACATTTGTTTAATGAAGCAATAGGAGAAGATATTTAGGTCTCACTCAATGTATTTATTTATCAGATAGTTGAATAAGCACACAGAGCTCTGGATCAAACTCCTCACCCTAGCACCAACAAAGGTAATGTCAGGGCACGAAGTCTGACTCACTGCCTCTCCCTAATCCAGTGTACTTATACTATTACATGAGAATGTGCACAGAATGTGTTTCAGCTAGCTGATTGGGTCCTCCGTGTCCTTGGGCCTTCTTCCACTATCTCGTAGGTGCAGATTGCACCACCAACCTTGCGATTGGAGGACAACCCGCTCTGCCACCAAGCAAAATGTTATCTGTATGACATCAGACATTTATTGAGGTAGTGGATCAAAATGTTTAATTCAAGGAGATATTACAAAACCACAGAAAGATTGCTTATAGTCAGGTCAGGTTAATCACACTGTGACCATGGACGAATTATTTCAACATGACAATTCACAGATTGATTAATTTATTTCATGAAGATATACGTACATGTTTATGCATTACAGAAGTGAGAACTCACATGCACAGGATACATAGATCAGATTGTGATGCTCCAAAGTGGTTGTAATTCAGACATATTGCACACTGCCAAGTCTCCATGACTATGCTATATGGCAAACTGATTCCTTTCAGAGTCAAACAGCTAGTTTTCATTTTGTTTTACATTTTACATTTACTTTCTCCACCGCTGCTCAAGGAAGTACCACACCTTAGATTGAAACCACAGTATGAATTTTAACACAGCAGTCTGCATGAGAAGCACGAGTTAATCTTAGGTTATTGATTTACACACAAATCAAATTTTTGCAAGTCTGACAAAATGACTGTGATGGGCAAATCAATGGCTCCAGTGACTTCCGTTAAGAACTGTAAGGTACACTGGATTTCATTGCATGTTTGAATATAGCAGATTATTTCAACAACAGTTCATTGAAAAGGCACAGTGGCTAAAAAAAAAAAAAACCTTGAAAGATAACTTAACAAAGGAAGAATTTTAATTTATTTTTTTCTTTTCTGAAAATGCGTTTCCGTCATTCCAAAATAAAAACTTAAGAGTTCCAGCAGCGATTGAACACTCAGGACTACCATAATATACATGGTCTTTACAACTGTAGGGAAACTTTTTTCACAACTGCAGCAGATTATTTTAACAATGCATAATTGTTTATTCAAAAGGTCTGTTGGCTAAAGATACTTACAAAGGATATTTTTACTCACACTATAGAAAAATTAAAATATACAGTAGACATGATTGATGCATTGAAAGACAAATGTAGTGAAACATGGATTTATTGTGTGTTGTGGTTTATCGTGATGTGGCACAAAGGTGGTAAGGCTTTGGACTGCGAATGCCTCCCAAGTTATAGTCCAGACTGGGCAGCTCTCCATCAGGTGCTGAGAATGAAAATCTCTGGAGGAAGGATGTGAAAAAGAGGAATAACTCCATCCTGGCCAGTTGTTCCCCAAGGCACACCCGCTTACCTGAGAATACACAATACAGCAGATTAGTTTCATTTATACAATTTAAACGTATATATATATATATATATATATATGTGTGTGTGTGTGTGTGTGTGTGTGTATTTAATATTAAACAAAATACAGTACTTGAAATGGCTTTGTGCATTTTAAAAATAAAAATAAAATTTTGTGTAAGTTAGAGCTTTTAGTTAGTATACTTTTACAACAGTCAACTTACAAACATGTGAAGACAATGGAAATAGCAATGTAATTTAATGTAACAGTACAAGAGAAAGGTGACATTTACTCATGCACATTCAGCACAGATAACATAAGAGCTACCAAGTAAGAAGTGTCTGGTGTGAACAGATGCAGTACAAAAACACAGGTGTCTAAGCTGGTGAGATGTGGGAAGGTCCAGGTCCAAAATCACCCAGAAATGCCCAGAATCTCCAAGTATTGCAAGCTAACCCTTCAACCATCAAGTTTAAGGGGAGGGCAATTAAATGGCAACTAACATGAAGTCATTGTGGACGCAGTTGGAAAACGATGTCAACCCAATTTTGACTGATTGAGTAGTGAGGATCCACAATATCAGGCTAGAGATTAAAGAATTGAAGACAAGGTACAAGAAAGCAGGAGAAAAGTAACACATTCACTATTACATGTCATGGTGGCAATCTAAAAACCTGCTTGTGGATGCCAGTGGTGAAGGAAGCCATCAGGCTGAAGAAGGAGGCTTGTCAGGCCTGGTTGGCTTGTGGTTTCCTGAAGCAGCACTCAGGTACCTGTTAGACAAAAGGGCTGTGCCATGGCAGTTGTGGAAGCTAAAACTCAGGTGTGGGAGGAGTTCAGAGAGTCTATGGAGAATGAGTTTTGGTCGGCTCTAAGGAAGTTCTGGCAAATTGGTTAACATCTCAGGAAGGGGAGGCAGGGCTTGGCAGAGGTCGTATACAGCCAAAGAGTGGAGAACTGCTGACCCAGACTGAAGATATTGTCAGTCAGTGGAAAGTGCACGTCGAGGAATTCCTTGAATCTTCACCAATATCTGTGGAAGAGGTTGCTGAAGTGTGGACGAGATTTGCCTTGAGATGCTGAAGGCTCTGGGCACTGGTGCTTTCCATTTATAAAAATGGGGACCGGAGGGAAGCTATTGAATTGCCAGTCCACCTACTTCCAACCTCATCGATGGTCATGAGTTTCTTTCAGTGACCGAAAGAACAAGTGGGCTTGTGGGCACAAGCGGGTGAAATGAGTTTCTTCTATTGGGTGGCTGGGCTCAGTCTTAGAGATAGGATGAGAAGCTCAGACATCCAGAAGGAGCTCAGACTAGAGTTGCTGCGCCTTGTGTCGAAAGGACCCAGTCAATCTGGTTTCGACATCTGATTCATCTGCCTCCTGGGAGACTTCCTTTGGGAATTTTCCAAGCAAGTCCACCTGGGAGAAGACCACAGGGTAGACCCAGAATTCCCTGGAGGATTACATAACTCATCTGACCTGGAATCAACCAGAGAGAACTGGAAGGCTTTGCTGGGGTGATGGACATCAGGAATGACCTACTTCATCTGCCCCTGGTACCCAACCCTTCAAAAGCGGATGGATGGATGGATGGATGGATGGATGGATGGATGGATGGATGGATGGCACAAACATCCCAACAATTAGAGTAAAATCATTCAAAAGCTTGGGTAACATCTTTGACAGCTCTTGGAAGGACACCATCCCCTTGACCTGCTCTGAATTGGGTGACTGGCTGAAAATAGTGGAGAACTCTGGCCTACCTGGGTATTTCAAAGCCTGAGAAGAAGGTCACCAACCACCTGAGGAAATTGCTGGAGCTGCCAAATAGTCTGAGTAGCATTGCACTCTACAGACACCGCAACAAACTGCAACTGCCTTTCAGATTCTTGGAGGAAGACTTCAAGGCGACAAAAACCATAGATGTGAGCTGTTCATGGACCATACCCACCACACTGTGACCAGATGTTGTCCTGGTGTCTAAGCTCACCAAATAAGTTGTGCTGCTGGAACTGAAAGTCCCACGGGAAGATCATTTGGAAGAGGCCTTTGAAAGGAACCTCTCCAAGGACAGTTCAACGGCTGTCGGCAGAGTGGATGCAGAGCAAGGTATCTTTCATCAAAGGTAAGTGCAGAGGAATTCTGTTCCTTCGTGAGAACCTACAGCCAGTTGGGCATTTTGAATGTGAGAGGAAGAAAAGAACCATCCACAGGACCACTGAAATGGCAAAGAGACTCTTGAGATGGTCGTGGCTATAAGGAGGAGAGCCATGTCAGATTAAGTAGTCATTTGGACAGAAGATGGGGCCAAATCAACCCCAGCTGGATCACTTGGAGGAGGCTGTATAATGTTGAAAGGCCAGACTGGGAGATCAGAGGAACATTACTGACACTGTGTCCAGAGAACATCAGCGGATGTTTTCACAAAGTAGATGAATAAAAATATATAATGAATACTTCAAGTGAGTGGTTACTCATGAAAGCAATCGCAGTACCTCGTAGGGCCTTTGGGTAGAACGCCACATTAAAGGATTGTAACCGCTGACTCACCTGCAGAAAAAGGAAGGAAGGCCTCTCTCTTCCTAAATTTACCGTCCTGGTCCAGAAAGTGCTGAGGGTTGAAGGAGTGTGGAGTTTCCCACATCGACTCATCGTTCAGAACCGAGTGCAGTGATGGCATTATCAAGGTGCCCTAAAGAAATAGGATTTGTTTCTTATTGGCTCTGTGGTAATTTAGAACATTTTTATGTTTAAGTGTTACCTGCGGATTGCGTACCTTTGGGATTGTGTACTTATCCAGTGTGGTGTCCCTGTAAGTCATGTGGGGCACATTGAGTGGGACGATGTTGCCATATCTCTGTATTTCATGGATGACTGCATCAGTGTAGGGCATGTTTTCTCTGTCAGTCATGGAGGGCTGTCTGGATGAACCAATCACAGCATCTATCTCAGCCTGGACTTTCTCTGCACAAAGTAAAAGCAAGAAATAATATCAGTTTGTGTGCTGAGAAGATGACTGAGAGAGGGAATTACATATCACACACATTCTCACCCAATATAGGACTGATCTGTGAGACACCTCTGACAATATGAAGTCATAGCAAGATGCCTACAAAAGATGCAGCCATGGCAGATATTACTCGTACACTCACTCTGTATGTCAGGGTAATGGATCATGTATAGCAGCGCCCAGCGTAAAGTAGTGGTAGTAGTTTCACTTCCAGCACCAAACAGATCCAGAGTACAAATACACAAATTGCTGAGATCAAAACCAGCGTCTTTGTCCTCCTTCTACACAAGAGACAGAAGCAGGAATCACGTCACATATTTGATTAGAAAGACACGAAAAACAAACACATTGCAACACTTACATCTCCCATTTCTATGAGGAAGGAGTCAATGTAGTCTCTTGGTGATGAGGGGTCGAGGGTTTCTCTGTGTTCTTTAATCTTGATTTCTACAAACTTAATTAACTCTTTTAACAGGGCGAATATCTTCTGATGAGGTCCAGGCAGCCACCTCATCAGCCAGGGCACTGTGTTGTAAATCTACAGACAGGAGAACAGTTATCAACTCATCTACCAGACAAGAGAATTATGTCTAGTCAAATCATCTTTCAGTGGATAAAGAGCTGTTAGACAGATAAGTACTTGTTTCTGTTAATATTGGTTTACTTTTACTTACAGAGGATTTCAAATGCAGATTTTTACATGAAATACATTGTAGAGGAATCCTTTTATAATATTTCTATTAAAATCCACATTTTATTACTGTGTTCTGCATAAATCCTGATGAGAATAGGATTTTTGGATTCTGGAGACTCACCTGGATAAATATACTTTCCTGTAAGCGCACTGCGTCATTAAAGTCCTGGAGAATAGACTGGTACTGCTTATCAGTGTACTCAAATCGATGTCCAAACACCAAACAGCAGATTATGTTGGACACAGCATTGTTTATCAGTTTTCGGGCATCAAAGGTCTTCCCTGCAAAAAATAAATAAAAAAGGAGGGAAAACACAGAAATGCATGTCAGAACACATTTAGTAAAGTTCTTAAGGCTGGCAAAATTTGCCCCATCATGACTTTACATATTTAAAAATAAATTTTATGTAAAGTGATTCATTATGTCAGTTCTATTACAGAGAATACAGATATCCAATAAATTATGATGACTGCCATATTTTGTTACATAATCAGATTCACAAATGTCTTTTGGAGAGAAAAGAATAATGACATGTCTGTGGAATAAAAAAGACAAATAATGAAAATGAATGCATCACTTCAAAAACATGTATGTAAAAAAGTGATTTATTGTGCCTTGGTGATCTGCGAACGCCTCTGTGAGATATCGACACTCCTGCTGGATGAATATTTCCATGGTCTTCTTGCCCAGACCAAAGTTTCTGAGTGTGTGAAGAGCAAATCTCCTCTGCTGCTTCCATGGATTACCATTGGCTATCACAATACCTTTTGGGAACACAAAACAGCATCAGACCAGAATTAGTCTGATTCTACTGGCCTTTGTAAAAACTCCAACTCACAACTTTTGAAACAACATGCAACAAACCTCACCTTTATTCCCAATCAATTCAGCGAACAATGGTACGGGGGGACGATCTGCATAGTCTTCTCCTTGTTGGACCAGGGCTTCTTTTATATGCTTGTAGCCATTGATGACCACAATCCTTCCACCAAAGAGACGAAGGCTGAAAATGGTTCCATATTTCTCTGCAAACTGAGCACAGACAGCAAATTAGCATTGTGGAAAAAAACAGTGAGGTGACTCATTAATTCAGGTTCGACTTCAACACATCGATTTGACATCTGGATTTTCTTTTAAATCTTACACAATTGATCATATCACAATTTGTTCTTCAACTAAGGAAATGCAATAAGTGTTTGGAAAAATTAATTTATCACATGACGGTTCTGCCTAATGATGTTTCTGGAGCCTCAGACTCCAGATTTTTGGCCTGGTCTGGCCATGATATTTATATGAGTGAGGTTAAGTTCTGTGGTTTAACTACTCTGTTTTATGAACAGCGCTTCTCATCCCCTGCTCACCACACTAGTGTAACATCAGAGCAGCTTCAGCGGTAGACTGAAACATTTGAGGAACAGCACAGAATACCACAGGAGGCATTTTCAACATCAAACTGTATCTTCCTCCTCCTTCTGCAGGAATGACAGTTAAGTCTGAGCAATATCAACATTTGCAAAAATTACTTTTCTCAAAAGTTTGTTCAATTTAAGTTTCAGTATCAGTGTAGCATTTCTGTTTCGTGTACAATATATCAATGCAATGTGCAATATTTAACTTTTTCTGGTCAAAATTTTTAATTTCAGATGTGACATTTCAGTTTTGTGGCCATATTTCTTTGTCATGTGTAAGATATCTGCTTCGTGAGGAGAATTTTATTATCATGTGTGATCAGGGTCTTTCAAGGTCGCTTATCATAATCTGTTCCACTGGAGAACACTTTGATGCAACGGCTGTTGTCTTAAAAGAGCTGTATAAGAAACACTGACTCACATTTGACCTAACTAGTTTATACAGGATTGTTTTCTAAATGTACTATGATGTAAGATGTCTCCACAATGAGAATCAAGATGAGACTCTCCCTGTCAGACTTTGAACCCATCAGTGGACCCAATAATGACTGCTTGTATCTACGTAATGATTAAATATACAGCTTGGAGTATGGCAATAGTATTAGCTCAATATTATTTGTTCATACTTTCTGCTCTTTGACCTTTACTTGACATCTTTATATGCTTTTAGATTTATTTCATTGATTGCTTTTAGATCGTATTTCTTTTATTTTCTCTGTTGCCTCCCACACAGCCTGCTATTGGCATCAATGCCCTAACACATTTGAACTTGTTCTACGGCACTTATCTAGATTCTTTTTCTCCTGACTAGAACCTTGCTTGTGTTGTATCCGCTCTCAGATGCAGTGTTAATTATGACGAGAATCTTTAATTTCATTTTAGTCTTAGTCACTCACCAAAGACTGGATTTAATTAAAGTCACATTTTAGTCTTTTAGTTTTATTTTTTTTTAGTTAAAATTTAGTCTGGGGCAATCAGTTTTAGTTTTAGTCTCATTTTTAGCCTCATTTTAGTCTTTTTAAGTATTTTGACAGTTTTGTTGAACTGTAATAGATGTTTGTCATGGTAGTAAAAACTCCATTGTAAGCATAACTATAACTATGTGTTTAATCATCTAAACCAGTGGTTCTTAATTTTTTTCTGTCCTGGCCCCCTTTGGAGGACAAAAATCTTTTGGGCCCTTCAATGTTGAGGTGGTTGTCTGATGAGTCATTGTTGACACCATATCAAGAGCAGTGGGGAGTACGAGATCCTCAGCGATGTGGTTTCTTGCACTTGGTGATTCTGTTACAGGGCTTCAGACTAACTTTTCCAGTTGTCGCACTGGTGCTCCAACTTTCTTTGTTGGTATCAGCTAATGATTTGGTCGCCCCATTCCCTCATTTTGGTTCAGTATTGCCACAGCTATTAATGCACCATGCATGATGAATAGTTGTTTTTGCATAACTTAGTTATGTTGCAATGATTTTCAGTGATACAAGACTAGATATTTGTAAAATGTTTTAACCTTAAAATATATTTATTTTGTCATCAATCCTCTTCTGATATCACTCATTAACTGGACACAGGTTAAACAATTGCTGAAAATGCCTATAGGTAGATGCTACATTTTACCAATGTTCCCTGAACGCCTCGCATGCTGCTTCGGTAGATGCTTCGGTAGATGCTACATTTTACTGATGTTCCCTGAACGCCTCACATGCTGCTCCAGTAGATGCTACCAGGTGTCTGCAGTGCAGCTCGTCTGACAGGTGAGCGACCAAACGTTTGTTGGAAAACAGTGCAACACAAATTTGCCCACAATGAAAGGTTTTCTATTCGCAGAGTTGCTATGAACGGACTTGTCTACGAGCTGAGGGCATTTTAAATGTCCAAACGACTGGCGATCATATTTGTAGAAAAACTGTGATCGCTGTTAGAATGTGAATCCGGGGGGGAGCCACACACTTTGACTAACACTGGCATAGAGGATGGCTGCAATCCAGAATGTCCGGCATGCCAGAGTCTTTTTTTTTTTTACTCGTCAATTGATAATGAACAGAGATTCATTTTTGTTGTCGGTGCTTTTTACATTTACGTTCTCGTCACAAATTAGTCACGGAAAACAAAACAAAACAAAATAAACACTGCTCAGATGTACGTCGCTTTGGGTAAAAGCGTCTGCTGAATTAAATTGTAGAATTGTAGATTTTACACAATTGATAATGTAACAAGCTTTCAAATACAATGTAATGCAGTTGAGGTCTTTTACCTTCCTGTATCGGTACTCCTACATACTACTTTTATAAAGGATAGGAATACACTTCCATCCCTGCTGTCTACAGTTTACAAATCCATTGACTTGAATTAATGGTTTCCTCTGCTTCAAACAGATTTTTGCCAGAACCTGTTGTATGGAAGCTCTGAGATGTTGCTTAGACAGTCAGGACCTTTCTTGTAATATTTATTTATTTCAAAATGCATGAGGGGTCCTCTTAATGATGCTTCTCAAGCCTCAGATTCCTATTCTTATTATTATTCTTATTATTCTTATTATTCTTATTATTATATGGACTTGTACCTCTGAGAACTGCAAATGAAGTTTTGAAGGTTGGATGCGATGAAGATCACCAATAAAAGGCAGAGCCCACGGTCCAGGAGGGAAGTTTTTTGGTGCTCTGTACCTCCAAAAATCAGCCAGCAGCAGAAAAACACAGAAAAATATTAATAAACTTCTGCTGTCTATCCATTCCAAGCCGAGAACACTGAAGATTCCCTCCATGTCTTTGCTCGAACTGCAGCTATGGCGACTGAGCAGAGTTCAGTCAGGTAAAAGTACTTCTTGGTGTCTTATAATAAAGTCAACATGGTCAAGAACTTCAAAATAAGAGCATGTACGTGTGTATGTATGCATTATGCCCCTGTGGGATCACCAGGGAGTGTCCCTCACCTGTCTCTCACTTGCAGTGGCTTGATTGGAGTAACTCAGCACACCTGTGTGATGAAGTTACTGAAGTCCTGCAGTGGCTCTAACTAAGTCTCTCTACTCTGACTTTCTCCACAGACCCCCCAAGGTTTGGTTTGGTTTGGTTTGTTCATTCGTGCTGTTCTGATTTTGCCTTTTGTTGTGTTTTCACCTTCCAACACCATCACACACATACACTTCTTTCACTCATGCACATGAAACACATCTGACTTACTGATTGTCACATCCTATTCTTTAAATGTTTGATTTGGCTATTTAATTTGGTCATATTTGATTTAATAAAGAATTATTAAAATGTTTATCATGATGTTCTTCCTTTTTTGTTGTGACCTCCTGAGCCAGGTCATGACAGTGTGCCCTTCAGTCATGAAAATACCTTTGAAGGTCCTAACTAGTTACAAGTAAGTATGCATGTATTTATTTTCTCTACTAATGCTTAGACCTATTGAGGTAACTGGTAACTAAAGCTGCTAGATCAATGCAGTGGAGGCTCCTGTCCGACCCAGACTGAAAGTCAGCGGTTTACTGAATGCAAGTTATTTTTTACGATTTCATTCATCACTATTTTATTTGCAGCATGAAAATGTAACATCATCTGACAACTGCCCCGCTCTGTTAGCTGATGATGNTGAGGCTCCACATTAGTTCAATAACATTTATTCTTTAGCAGATAAAAGTGAAACTTTCAGATTTCCATGACAGTATAGTCGTCTAACACACCCAAGTTTGGTTAACTTTTGCATTTGTTAATAATTTATAGTGGTGCAGGTCATTAGCTTCAACCTTCAGTAGAAAGTCAAAACACTGTGTGTGTATTTTAGATATCAACTGTCCAATTGTCCAGTTGACAGCATCTACAAACAAAACAAAACCTGTGTCACAATCAAAAACCCCAAACACATTATATAAGCCTCCTAACAGAAAATGTTGAAAATATACCATCCATACAAACAATAGTTTGTAAGTCTAAACTGCATGGCATAATTGTGTAACTGCCATGATAAGGAAGAAAAGACAAATTATCGCCTGCTGCTGAGAAACAATAGGTCAGGATGGTCCAAAGTCAACCACGAATCACCAAAAAGCAGCTCTGCAATGAATTAGAAGCTGCTGGAACACAGGCGTCCATGTCCACAGTTAAGTGTGCTTTACATCGCCTTGGGCAGAGAGGCTGCCGTACAAGAAGGAAGCTTTTCCTCTGAAAACAGCATCTTAAGGTTCACCTAAAGTTTGTTGCTGATCACATGGACAAAGAATAGGCCTTCTGGAGGAAGGTTCTGTGGTCAAATGGAACAAAAGTTGAGCTATTTGGCCACAATGACCAGAAATATGTTTCACCTCCAAAACACCATCAAGCATGGTGGTGGCAGTATTATGCTCTGGGGCTGTTTTGCTGACAGCAGAACTGGTGCTTTACACAAAGTAAATGGAATAATGAAGAAGAAGAGTTACCTCCACATTCAAGACAACTTAAAATCCTCAGCCAGAAGGTTGGGTTTTGGAGGCAGTGGGGTGTTTTAACAAGACAAAGACCCCAACCACACATCAAATGTGGCAAAGAAATGGTTAAATCAGGTTACAATGAAGGTTTAAGTTCTAGTTTAAACCCTATCAAGAACTCGTGGACTATGACAAAGAAACAAGTCAGTGTCAGAAGCCAACAAATCTGGTTTAATTGCACCAGTTCTGTCAAGAGGAGAAGTTAAAGATACAATCAGAAGTTTTCCTAAAGTTTGTGGACAGCTAACAAAAGCACCTTATTGAGATGAAATGGCCAAGGGACACTTAACCAAATAGTAGCGCTGCTGTGTGAATGTTTCTGACTCTGCAGATTTTGACATATTTCCAGAAGACCTATAATAGTTCTGTGAAAGAACTAAGATGTTTGATTATTTTGTCATGACAAATACATGTGTTTCAATAATTCCATCATCAGGTCTCGGAGTGATTGGACTTTTAAGACTTCCATGATATGCATGGTCTTTACAAGCGTACATAGACTTATCTTCACGACTGTAGTAGATTACTAATTCATTTACCATCATGGTCCAGAAAGTGCTGAGGGTTGAAGGAGTGTGGAGTTTCCCACATTGACTCATCGTTGAGGACTGAGTGCAGCGACGGCATTATCACGGTGCCCTAAAAAAAATAACACCATTGAAAGGGTTAATTAACCTGCATTGTAAAAATATGATCATAAGTCATATAAGCAAATCATTCCTTCTTGACCTTTGAAACAGAAGATTGGTACTTTTATGTAGGTTGTAAAATATTATTTTGTAAAAGCACTGATAGCTTAGCATTGACACTGACACAATTAATGTGTGTTCATGTTTGGGTTGTGCTGATTTGAAG